TTAGATGCTTTGCTGCATTCATTTAAACTATCAATCAGTTCATACCTTTACTTAACAAATATACATGTATTTATTTTTATTCAAAATATTTTCAGCATAAGCAATTCACTCATAGTAAAATTTAATTAAACTATTTATTGCAAATATACTTTGCATTTAATTAAAGAGCTTATAAAATTGCAATTGTTCTGGAAGCTGAATTTAAGTCCTACAACACTACTAGACAGTTATCGACCTATTGCCAAGTCTGAAATAGTATGATAAAGACTTGCGATGGATTTAAACAATCCCTTTGCTTAATCTTGAGCTTTTAACATAAAATGCATGACTTGTATTACAGAATAGAAGCACTATATAAATTAAACAATAGTCAAATAAATTCACGCATTGATAAATTGCCCAAGACTACATACTCAAATAATTAAATTAGAAGTTCACTCAAATACTTTTACCTGCGTGTAAGTTTAAAGTATCGACTGCGAGAGAATACAAAGCCGAGATAATTCCTTTTAGATAAAGCTGGCAAAAACTCAACAGCATGGCACAAGTGCTGAAAACTCTCTGATTAAAAATTTTATGATTAAAAATCCCTATATTCAATGAAAGCTAATTTGCATTCTGATATCTGGTAAGAAATACAGAAAAGAGAAATCATAAAGATCAAAACCATAATAACTGGTCAATTAACTTAAAAGTACATTACATTTTCCCTACCAAAATTTAAATAATTACAAACTAAGGTCCTTAATAACCTTTGCTAAAACTGTAAATTCTAAGATCTAACATAGGAGTGAACTTTTACAATCATCTACACTCATGTTCATAAATTAAGGATAATGCCAGCTCCAGTAAATGAAGGTCCAGAAACAAAACAAACATGACTTATTCAAAAGGCCATTTATTAAACAAAAGATAAATAATAAAAAAAATGGTGTATGTATGATACCATTCCTAAAAACTCCAATTGTTGTTCGAAGGAGCACTTACGAAAAATATCTTTCTTACAAAACCTTAACATTATGTGGTTGGTACAATGGTTAATATATTATATGTCTCCCAGATGATGAAATACAGTCCGCACAATGCCTAGGCATGCTAAAAATCCAATTATTGAGCTGATGTAGGGAAGATTACTCCACTCATCAAGCAGTGCTCTCCAGAATTCCAGTACACATGTAGGAGGGGCTTGATGGGCTGCAATTCATTGGCCAAGCATGTCCCACACATGCTGTATCGGATTCAAGTTAGGTGAGAATGATGGCAATTCCATATGTGTGATACCCTCAGATTGAAGGCATTCCTTTACTATGTTTACATGGTGAGAACAAGCACTGTCATAAATAAACACAAGTTCTGCACCCGTGGCACTAAACAAACATATATGTTGTTCCAAAATGATTCCGATAAATTTGGTCTGCCATGTTTCCGATCTGAACGTGCAGATCTGTTCCGGAGCTCAGTATAAGTTCCCCCCAAACGAGCTAGCCTGCACCATTGTAATGGTTTTGTTTAATGATGTTATCTTGGTAATAAAAGATACCTGGACTTCTCCATATGAAAGTCCAACGTGAATCAGACTGCAAGCTAAACTTGGACTTGTAAACATCACACAAACCCACTCCATGTCCACATTGCATGTTCTCAGGTTAACCACTGGTGACAGTGAGTTGCCAGTCAAACACAACTGACAGGCATGCAAACATGTAGACCAATCCATCCCAAATGTCTGTACACTGTTTGCCTTGAAACTGTCGTACCTGTGGCTGAAGATATCTGATAAGACAGGTCTCATGCTGTGCTCAAGTCTTCTTCTTTTGGCAGTTACTGCCAAATAGCATTGTCAATTGTCATTGTACATCGGGGGCAAAGTGTACTGTAACTTCTATTGACATTTCCACCATTTTGGAATTTTTGCCAAAGCCTAGAGGTGACACTTTGCTCTGTGCCCAGCTCCTTGGATACTTCCATCTGAGTACACCCATATTCCAGGTGAGCAATAATTCTTCTGCGTAAAAAAATCATCCACATTCATCCTCTGTGTCACAACTATTCGGCTGTGGTGCTGAGCGGCTTACAGAAAACTTGCGAACAATTTCACTTTTTTGCTACTACTTCTTAGATGCACTTCTCTTACACTCTCATTATTGTGACGGACTATCAGCGCCATGTATTTTGCGTATTATTCTTGAAGATGTGTGTGATAATGCTACAGGTGAAATTTTTACTTTAGAGTTCAAATTCCATGTGATTCTGAACTATCCTTAATTTATGGGCATGGGTGTAATTAAACCTTTTTGTTATTACAAAAATTTGGATTTTTTTTTCCATTAATTCAAGCCATCATTCATCTCACATCTTTTTAGTCATAGAAATACTAAAGTTTACACTACAACCTGTACAGAAAAGGCTCCAACTAGTCTCAATTATTCCAAAGCGAAACTTATAATTTTTGCATGCACAGTTGCTGCAGGAACGCACAAATGTACATTTTTCATAATCATAAAAAATACACAAGCTTGAGCATTTAAAGGGTAAAGAATTTCCCCACTACATATCATGAAAATAAAAGAGCATGGATGGCACAAGCATATGAATGACTGGTTTGAAAATCATTTCATACCTGAGGCACAGCAACATTTGAATTCGGTTCGTTTATCTGATGATGCTAAATTGTCTTGATTGTACACAACTCTTTGGCTCATATTTCACTTTTATTCCTATTATTCTTTGTATCCCTATTATGCCTTCTTCCAAACTGTACATCCATCATTCAGCCTATGGATATTGTAATAGTGTGTACGCTGAAATGCAAATATAAAGTAGCATTTTTAAAATCCATGTTAAATTTCTTGAATAATGGCAAGACTCTTCAAGAATTTTTGAAATATTTTAGCACAAAATCTGCATAGCAGGATCGTGCAGGATGTGTCTCCAGATACTTTTAAAAATGCTTGGCAAAATTTATGGCCATCTACCATACTTCATGGTGAGGATGGTGAACAGGATAGCTGTGAATTTGAAGGTTTTCGGATATCGCAAAGCAAAGGTGAAATTTCCCACTTCAATGGATTTTGTAAAGAACTGTGGAGATGCAGTAACAAATGAAGATGATACAATAAAAATTTTTCATTGTGATGACAATGCCCCAATATCAAGTAATTAATGAACAGTGAAATCTGAATGTATGGTTCTAGATTGTTCAATAAAAATGTTCAATGTATGGTTCTAGATCCAAAAAATACTGCTACCGATAGTAAAGAAAGTGGCAGAGAGGTTATTGAAAACGAAAAATTTCTATTGACAAGTCAGTCGGAATTCTCGAATCACCAATTACAGGACTCGAACATTGGAGCTTTGTAACTGAATAAGAAATTATGTCTGCAGAATTAAAGAGAAAATATTAGTACAAAAAAAGCAACTTAAACAACTTCCATTGAAAGAAATGTTTAATAAAGTAAACAAATAAATATTACGATTTTCTTTTGCAAATTTTGTTGCTGTTTAGTTCATAAATAATTCCTTGTTTTATAAATCATAATTTCATATTTTTAATTTCTACATGCCATCTTACTGGATTTAAGCTGATAATCTAATGCCCAGAAAAATCCCAAATCTGGAGTCGCCGAAGTCCGAGTTTGAATCTCGGACTTTGTACTGTACTTATATTCTGGGAAGAATTTGTCATCCAGATTCATAAGGTGCGCTCTTAAATTGCAAGAATACAATTTAATAATCAAATATGATCTCAGGAAAGAAAATTTTGTAATGGATGCCTGGATATGAATTAAACAAGATGATGGAGGAAAGGAAGTAAAATGGGCTATGTTAACTTCTAAAATTTTAGATTCATGAGAAATAATTATTTCACAATTGGAAGCAGAGACAGAATTTTAAAATATCTATGCATATTGGAAAGATCTTGATTATTCTGAACACCATGCTGTAAAAATTGGAAACAGGGCATGAACTTTATCAGTTGGTTAACAATACTAATCATAGCCCATCCTAAACAGCATAAAAGCTGCATTCCGTAATGATATAATAAGAAGTAGACAATGTAGTCAAAGAAAAGTAAAAACAGTTATTTATTCATGATTGTTGACCATTTTTTGAAGTGGATAGAAATAACTCTCCTCAAAAGATATTAATTATCTAATATTTTTGCAGATTCATTTTTAAACAAATTTATATTAAAGTATGGTGATCTAATTAAAATAATCTCTGGCAACACAAAATAACTCTCGAGTTAAATTTTTCAGGAAATGTATAGAACTCTTGACATAAAGAAAATTAAAAATTTTCCTTTATTGGCCACAGCTGATTACTGCAAAGTGGGTAAATAGAAATATAGTTAAAATTATCTATGTAAAAAAAAAAAATTATCACCAATACTAGGATCACTGCATCAGTGAGTTGGCAATTGCATTAACAATTAAGCCTGATGCAACTGGAAAGACACAGGATGAATGCAGCAACTTCATTATGCCCTTCAATAAACTTTTTTATAATCTTGAAAATTAACCATTCTCTTGCATGTGAACCAGAAGATCAGTTGGGGAAATTTTTTCACGTTTGAAGGTAATTCAGAGAACTAGGAAAATACTGGTATTTTTGAAAGAACAAAACTGTGAATGACTAAAAGTAGGTATGGATAAATTAAAATGTTGTTATAAAAGGTTTTGCAGGAATCACCAGGCTTGAGCAATAAAAGCTAATTATTCCACTAAGATTGATCTGATTCTTAAAAAAAAAAAAAAAAAAAAAAAAAAAAAAAAAAAAAAAGATATCAGCATATAATTCTCTAAAAATGGACAAGGCTTCTCTCTAAAATCAACATTAAACTATTTTTTTAATTTTCTCGTAATTTTAATGCTCAATTTGGTATTTTCCCCTTGTATCTGTAAGTATTTCCTCGCATCAATTAGTCTAAATAAATAACATTTGTAGCCTCTGATTCAATGTTATTGATATTATTTAAAATATTATTTTTCTATACTTACTTGTGCCCCATATAGATGCCTTTTGTTCAGAATGTTGAAATTTTTTATCCTCATCAGTAGACTGAACAAACCAATAATGCCCTGGTACAGTCTGTGGACGGATCTAGAAAATATTTAAATAAAATGAAAATATTTAAATAAAATAAACATAGAAAATATTTAAATAAAATGCATTTAAGAATTGATAAATGCTCATTTTTTTATGCTATAGAATCTTTCTGCATTCTTTGGGAGCATACATTATTAAACCCTATGTCAAAGACTAAGTAGTGAATTCTCGATATGTCTTTAAGAATAAATACTGCAGATGAAAGGTTTAAATAACTTTTTATTTAAATCTAAATTAAAACAGATGCATGCACTTCATGCTTACAAATCACCACCACTTGTGGCTACGTTAAGAAAATAAGAATGTAACAAGTCAATAGTAAAGTAGGATAGTCTAATGACTGGCTTCTTAGCTTAACTAACGCTAAATCGACTGCACACAGCAAAGTCAAGCCGAGAAATATCAGTGTAAACTGAATGGTATCTAACACTGAAACTAGAGAGCTAAATTTAAATTTGCAGCATAAACATCAGAACAAAGTCCGCTACTACTCTTTTGAAATCTTGAAACGCAGCTTAAATACTGCTTCTGAAACACATTTAAAATTTACATCTACATCATACAAAATTTACATTCTGGCAGGAAACTGAAATCAGGAGAAACAGGAAAGTCAAACTAAAAATAACTGGTTAGAATAAAGTAAAGCTTACAATGTTAGCTACATATAATATCCAATATTGATTTTTACATATAATAAAAAAATTTAGGTAATTTCTTACCCATTTATCCATATAATATGTACTATTACAGATATATAATTGAGGAAAAGCTTCTTGTATTTGAACAGTTTTAACTTTTATATGTATACTGATATAGCATTGATTAAAAAAATAAATCACCCAGTAAACAATTTAAAATTTTAGCAGTTATTTTGAAAGCTACATATTTATAAATGTGGTTTACAATGCATAACAAGTAACAGAAAATGTAAAAATAATTATCCCAGCCTAGAGATTCTGCTGAGTTTAAAATTTCATCTGCAGTATAAGTTCAAAAGAGGAGATTTTTTTTTTTTTCTAATGTCAACTATATAGATAGTTTGTGTAAAATTTAAAAAAAAAAAAAAAAAAAAAAAAAAAAAATTCCTATTATAAAATATTATAAAATATTTTATGTATTGCAAAAGGTACCAGGTTAAGTAAAATTTAAGAAATGATGTATTCCCAACAAGTTTCCTATGTGGGAGAAAAATAAGTTGGAAGATATTTATTATTTATTGTTCATTTAAAGTTATATATATATGCATATTTTTCAAATACAACACTAATATATTATTAATCAATGTAAATACTATATATTTAGCTCCATTTGTGTGGCTATAGTAGTTTTCTTTGGTAATATGTATATAAATGTTTTTGCTTTTGCTACGAGATCCACCTTCCCATCTATGAATCTGAATGGATTTTAAAACTGAATTTCTGTTTCTTAATATAATTAAGAATAGAAAACTAACATTTTTATTTAGAAAATGCAGAAAACAAACTTGAATTAATTATTAAAAATCTGAGTCTACATCATAACACAGCATGGCAGATTGTAAATGACTACATTCTACCATACTTTTTGCTAGATTTGTTTAGGAAATGTTATTTAATTACTTTGCATTTTATTGAAGAAGCAATAAAACAGTCATTATCAAATAAAGTCAACTGTTAATTGAAAATTTATCCCCTTGAACTGCCTCATTTGGGTGCATCAAAATTCATTTCTTTCATTACGCTGAAACATGTTTCTTCTGTAAAAACCCAATCCTGCATGTAAAGTCACATTATTTTTGCACATTTATAGTCATATTTCATACTGAAAAAATCTAGATGATTTGAATATTTCATTTTCAATTTTTTATGTATCCTTTCACGTGATTAACTATTTATACTAGAAATATGCAGATACACAATATTTTGCCATTTAAGTTAAAAACATAACAAAAGAGACACCAAATTTATTTGAATGATAGAATACTACAACTAAAAGACTTACTGCATATTTAATAAGGCCAGAAGAGTGAATTCCATGTTTCAGAGTCTGATCAAAAACTATTCCAGCCAGCACATCAGAAGTAGATTTTAAATAGTCACTTACTAAATTCTGCTCATTTTCAAAACCTATCAAAAATGACAAAAATCTAAAAAACAATTTTTATTAAGATATCTATAAAAGTAATTCTACATGTATGTGTGTCAGATACTTACATATAAGCATAACCATCTTAGTAAAATTTTCATAATGTTATTAAATTCTGGAAAACCATATGTATAATAATTCTTCAGGCTACTATGTGCATAACAATTTTTCAGATTTAACAAGCAATAAAAAAACCTTTTCATATGCATTCTTTTTGCTGTAATCCAAATCCAACAGTTTTTATGGATGAATCACGATATTTTTTGTGTTAAACTTAATTTTAAACTATGTACTTGCGGAATATGCCTACAGTGGAAAGTAGCTGCAGTAAAATTTCTAGAATGCAATACAATGTGCCTAAATCACTAAACAAAACAATTGTTTTGAATGCATTCTTAAAGCAATCAGCATGAAATTTCTACCAGAACAAAAGAAACAACGATTCCTGTAAGTTTACAGGTAGATTTTCAGAATAAACACATGATTAAAATATAAAATAAGTATCAAATAATATTTTTTTTTATTATAAGTAAGTATTCTTTTTCTTTTATAAGAAGTTGTCAAACTTCACCAAGGTGGTTGTGCTAATATGTAAACATTATGTACTAAACTATATATATCATACACTATAGTATATTATAGTACATTGTCATATACATATATTTGTACACTGTAGTATAGGTCACTATAGTATTTGTAAACAAAATGTCATATATTTGTACACTATAATATATAGTGTACAAATTAATTGGGAAAAAGCAATTTTTTCAATTATTTATGTGCACACCTTCATAAACAATGATAATAATAAAATTAACAAAAAATATTCTATTCTTTAGCACAAATGACCTCTTTAATGCACTTAGGCAGTGACTCTACTAATCTTATGCATACAGTTTTTACTTCTTTACCATCGAACCACCCTTTTATAGCATTCTTAATCATGTGTCCTTTTGTCATAGATTTCATTTTGCTTTTTTGAGAATGTGGCATAAGTTTTTGATTGGTTTTAATCTAGCACAATAAATTTATTTTACAACATGAATACTCTGACAGATTTTGAATTGGAACCAAGTCATGTTGAAATGTCTGTGCAATGGCTTTAGAGAATGGCAAAATTTTACATTTTAAAATTTCTATATCCATTGATTGTAGTGATCTCAAAAGCCACTCAATGTTTGCAAATTTAAGACGTATGGCAGCTCTTTTGCACTAGCGGTACATAATTCAACTTGCATGAAAGAGACCTAGAATTGAATCCCAAGGTCATTATCATCTTCACAAGGGCAAGCAAAACTCATGCACTGCTGCACTTAGTGGTGCTAATAGATGGTGACACAAGCAAGCAACTACATACCAAGCAAGCATACTGCAGTGTGATCACTAGATGATTAATTCATCCACTCCATCAACAGGAACTAGATTTCTAGTATTACTTGCAGTGGAAAAAAAAAAAACACCCTCCAGGCATTTGCTTTTGTGGATGTTTTATGGTTGGTGAGATATGTTGAGTTCTTATTCACCCTTGCACCATGAACAAATAAATGAGTCTCATTGCTCAAAATAACTGTTTTCCAGTCACCTGTGGTCCAAGATTTGCATCTTTTTGGCCCACAATAATCACTTTTCTTTATCCAATGTGTCAAAAGTTCTTTTTTAATAGGTTTTTCGCATCTTACGTTTAAGATCTTTGCTAGTTTTTATTGAATTAATAATGCCATTTTGGAGTTCTTCCCTTTTTCCTTTATACTTGCTCTCCCTTTCTGGAGAACATGACCCAGTTTCACTGTCTCCTCAGAATTCGAGAAATGCTTGCTTTTCCAACACCAAATCCAAAAGCAATGTTAATTACAGTCATGGATGTGTGACTGTTAAGTGCAATAATTTCTTGCTTCCTTTCTCAGTGTTATATCTATTTTTAGCATACTAAAATGAATAAATGCACAACGTACTTAAAACATATGCAAAAGAACATAAACAAGAAGAAGAAAAGAGAGAAGCTTAAACATGCAGCAATAAAACTAATTTATTATCTAAACCAGGTCTAAGTAGTCAAAAAGCAGACATCCAGATGACATTAAGGCAGACAAAACTTCTTTGAGGGACACACTAGCAACTAATTTCAAACTGTGTGAAAAAAAATCCCTTTGTCCCAATTTGCACATTATAGCCACAGACAAAAACATTCATTAAAGAGATTCTCCAAGGGAGCACGGGATCAGTCCACGTTTTTCATATTTCAATACACAATTTTTAAAATTTAGTTTTGAAGCAATTTTTAATGGATGTTTTTACTTTTATCCTTAATTAATGACCAAACTAAGTGGTGCAAAATTTAAATCTTTGTCCTAATGAAAAATAGTCTCTCAGAAAGTCCATTCTGATTATGTATGCAATTTACTGATTTCTGGAATCTTTTAAAGAATGTTAAAATCTTCAAAGATTAAAAAAAAGCACTTTATGCTCTTTTAAAAAAATAATGATCAAAAGGTATTTAGTGATTTTTTACAATAAAAAAAAAAAAAAGAAATCAAAATCTCAGCTTTTTCCTCAGAATTTATAGAATTTTCTCCAGAAAAGTATTCTGAAGATACTAATGTAATGGTTCCCCCCCTTTTATTCATTATTTTCTAACTCATTCTAAAGACCTAATCATGAAAAATAGGTATACTACTTACTAGTCACAAATATGCCATGCATTTAATTTGCTTTTCAAAATATCTTTCAATAAATTTAATTAATTATAGACAAAAAAGTAAAAAAGTTAGAACCAAAACAATAAAGACAGGAAAGAAATGAAATATAAAACCAGTACAAACTCAAATTTCCACGGAAATCCTTTGATTTGGGATATTTTGGTTCTAAAAAAATTTTCAATAAATGTATATATTCAAATTTCATAAAACAAAAATAGCAAAACCCCTGGTAGTAATTTATAATCACAAACATGAACTAAGCTTCTGAAGATAGGTAAATCAGGTAGACTTAATTCTAGAAAGAGTTTATTGTTATTATTATCTAAATATTACATACAGAGAGGATCACATAAACATGTGTACCTTGCTCCATAGCTAGAATATAAACTCCATATAAACTAGAATATAAGCCTTCACTATTTTACACCTGATAGCTTAGGATGAAATTAGCATTCAGTAGAATATTTTACGAAATATAAAGATAGCAGTTTTATGAATCTTATGGGATGCAAGATTCTAAAGAAATAGGCTAAAGCACTATTTTATATTTTCTGCATCTACTCAGAAATGTTTTCATTCTTTTAATAACTCTGTTTTATCTGTTTTAAAAACTTGCATTAGATTACCCAAACATAGCTTACAGACATATTGTTTTTCAATTAAATTTACCAATCTTGCAAGAACGTGAGCCAACATTCTTTAGTATGCAGGATGAGATGAGGATCTTCAGGATTTTCTAGTAGGATCCTGAAAAAGCAGTGTTGCAAAGTGGCTGGTTGAATAAAGTTTACTACGTATTTCTTTGACAAGTCCAAAGGGCAATATTCTAACATACCAAAGCATTCTGGTAGATGATACTGAAACACAACATAAAGTTTAGAAATGATTCATCTTTCTTGAAGATGGCAGTATTAGCAACCATTCTGGCGTTCATAGTGGTTATCGTTGATAGCTTGTGTAGAGGCACGTCTATCAACTTTACATATGTTGCAAATATGTAGAAAATATTCTCACCACTTGTTTGCCCTTTCATGGTTCGTAATTTTAATTGATCTTCTTTTACAGAAAAGTTACTAAATATCATACTTACCGTAACTGCTAGCTGTGCAGTGTCTGATATAAATGTTGATGTGTAGACTTGTCAAATTGTAGTAAGAACCAGTCATATATTTTAAACTCATGCTTTAACCGAGATTGCATGTCTTTTGAAATGGCATATCTTTTTTAACAGTGTTTCTGACAACTGCAAGTCTTCTATTGCAGACATAATCTCGCGTTTATTAGAAAATCTCTCAAATAAGTAATCAACATCAGTTGAAAATGCTTCTTTTAACAATTCACCTTCCTGGAAAGGCTTTGCTATCATGTGAGAAAGTTTGAAAGAAAAAGCAATAGTGCCATCTTATATTTTACCACAGACTGAGTGAAAACTGACTGTTGGCAAAACAGGTGTGATTTTAGTTGATTCCTTTTCTTGTTTCTTACTTCAGATTTAAATGATAAGGTTGCATCAAAAGTGGCAAGAATTGTCTGAAAATTACATTCAGCATTATTTTTTCATTCATTTTTTCAGCACCGCTGCATAGCAAATACATTTATCTTTAAAACTGACAAAACAATATGATTCTTCCCAGTCAGTATTAATACCTATAAGAACATCTATTCATTATAACACTAAGTTACACATGTTGTCATTTTGATCATGTGTGTAACATTTTTAATGTTTCTTTTTACATATTTTGCTATATAAAAACATCATAAGGCAATAAAAAATGAAAGAATATTTAAATTAACTAACAAAGATCATTAAACATGACATAATAAATGCATTACAAGTTTGAAACTTTAACAAAAGCAGAAAACTTGTTGTTACCAAACATATTATATAATGGTGTAATGTAAAGTTCACAAACTCCTTCAGTTCCTTTGCTCAATCAGTATTGCCAAAATCAGAACGTTAAAAATACCCATCGATTAAATTGACTGATGCGTACTTATAGGTGTTAAAAGTAGAGTTTTTGTCCTCTGAGTCACTTATGTTAGGTTTAAAGTAACAAAGTATATAAAATCAACAAAGTACAAGACACTAACAGTAAGGACAAGTACACTAAATATATGAGCACTTAACTAGCAATAAATATAACATGATATATAGGGGTTACCATTAAATGGGATCCATTAAATCCCTTTTGTAGATGGTACCACAATGGAAAAGACATAATTACACTGTGCAGATAAACATACAATAACTATAATCAAATATTTTTTAACAAATGTGATTATAT